GAATCTTGTCTGTTTCAGTGTGGATGACCGAAACATTTGTAACTCACATTCATGTGAAGATAAGAACAAGAACAACATGGTCGTGCCAATAGCTGTAGCCACATCAGTGATCGTTCTCCTTGTGATCCTGATTATCATATGGATCATACTAAGGCAAAGAAAAAGAAGTGAGACATTTTGAAATTTTATCGGTTTATAAATGAATGTCGATTTTTGCTGAAAATCAAAAACGACTGTTTAATTTCAGGAGGTAATTCACGACCAGGACCACTCTTGCCTTCAGGGAAGAGAAGGTTCACGTACAATGAGGTTTCTAGCATTACAAAAAACTTCAATAAAGTGATCGGTAAAGGAGGTTTTGGAATCGTCTACCTCGGTTCTCTTGAAGATGGGACTGAAATTGCTGTAAAAATGATGAAGGATCCTTCATCGACAAAACCTCAATTACCATCATCATCATCCCCAGCTTCCAAAGAATTCCAAGTCGAGGTAAGCTACAGAGCTCAATAAACACACTAGCAATCATTATCAGATAGTTTAGACATTGTTATTTTAATGATTATCAAAAGTGAAATGTTTTGCAGGCAGAGCTTCTTTTGACAGTCCATCACAGGAACATAGCCTCGTTTGTTGGATACTGCGATGATGACCGTAGTATGGCTCTCATCTACGAGTACATGGCCAATGGCAACTTGCAGGATTATCTTTCAAGTGAGAATGCAGGGCATCTTAGCTGGGAAAAGAGACTCCATATAGCCATAGACTCTGCACAAGGTTGGTCTAGTTTCAACATCTTTCTTAGATTTTTCAAAGCTAAACGGAGATATCAAATCCGATTTAGTATGGTTCAATTTTGTAACCGTCTTTTTTTTTTGTGTTCCCTTGTCAGGATTGGAGTATTTGCACAATGGATGCATGCCATCAATAATACACAGAGACGTTAAAACAGCAAACATTCTTTTGAACGATAACTTGGAAGCCAAGATTGCCGATTTTGGCGTTTCCAAGGTCTTCCCTGAGGACGATCTCAGCCACATCGAGACTGTAGTCATGGGCACTCCCGGCTACATTGATCCTGAGTAAGCTCCTTTTTACACATCACCTGTTTAATTTACCCTATAGGACCAATCCCAATCACATGATCAAGCTGGTAGTATATGATCACAAACCGGTGGTTAAATGAATCTAGTGTTGGCAAATTCAGTTCAGACCCCTTTAACCCCTACAGCTCCATCCTAAACCCGGATTTTTAGTCCCGGGTGTATTTTCGGATGGATGGTAAATAAACTCATAATTTTGAATGAGAGAAAATCAGTTTGGTGAGAAAGGCAAATAATAACTAAATTTGGTTTTCTATAAAGTACTAATTACCTAGGGGGTTATTTACAAACGAACATTACCTTAATTAAACGGCTAATTCATACTCCAACTTTTTGCATGTGCAACGATTCATACATGAATTTTAGGCGCGTGCTAAATTCTACTTCAACTTTTTTTTTTTTTTTTATGTATGAATCGTCACACATGCCGAAAATGGGGGTATGAATTGGCCGTTTTCCCCCTAATTTGGTTTGAATCAAACTAAGATCCATTTCAATTCAATTGTGGGTTTTTTGCTCTGCGTTTTAGCAAGAACAGTAACCCAATCAATAAGATTTGGGACTCATAAGAATCATATCTAATAAACTAAACAAATCATACGTGCATGGTTCAGATATTACCGCACGTTTATGCTGAACGAGAAAAGCGACGTGTACAGTTTCGGGATCGTCCTTCTTGAACTCATCACGGGTCAGCGAGCCATTGTGAAAACCGAAGACGGAGACAAAATCAGTGTCGTTCACTTCGTCGAGCCTTTCTTCGAGATGGGGGAGCTTGAGGGTGTCGTGGACCCGCTGCTTCGTGGCGACTACTCATTGGACTCAGCTTGGAAATTTGTGGAAGTGGCAATGTCTTGCGTTAGAGACAGAGGATTCAACAGACCAACAATGAACCAGATCGTGTCTGAGCTACAGCAGTGCTTAGCCGCTGAGCTGGCTCGTGAGCCACTGAGCCATGAGGTTTGATCAATTATTTATGGTTGATTGATTCTGTTTTCTATAACGGTTCTTACTCAAAAGAAATTATTTTCTTGCCACTTAATTTTCATTTATTGTAAGAAATGGGTTTTTTTTAGGTATATGTATATATGCTTTATGTCGTGATGAAATGAGCAATGTTTCTGCTTGCTAATGCTAAGTAGACTAAGATGATCAATAACGTTTGTCTTGTTATGTAGTTTGACTTGTATTTGTATCATGATTCTACACAAAAATATTGTTTTATTACACTAACTTTGATTATAAAAAGATTTAAATCTCGACATAATTCCATATTTGAAGAGGTATCAAATGGAACACCATGTGATCAGCAAATGGAACATATATGAACGTCAAATTGAATATTGGTTTAGGCTTTTAGGGAGTTGCTTTACGGTAAACGTACAATCCCATAAAGTGAACTTTTCGATAGCTTAACCGGAATTACATGAACTATCAAATTTTAATTTCAGTTTTGAGTGTTTCTGTAGTCTAGTGGTATTAGCTAACTTTATAAGAGTCAAATAATTCTAGCAAGATTGTGAACCGTTTTAAATTTTAACATTTTGATTGATTATTTGTGGGCCATTACATGTAGTGCCACATATATTCTTTTTTTTTGCGCAAACAAACTTTTATAAATAAAGGATAAAGCTTACACTCCATCTGAAGAGGAGTTACAAACTGAAAGTAGAGCTGTTTTAGCTAAAGAGTCAGCAACTAAATTGATTGAGCGAGAAATAAAGGTAAAGGACACAGAATCGAAAGATAATCTTAGGAGACTAATGTCGTAGAGGAGTCCCTTTAGCTCGATGGTAGATTTACCCGAGTTGATGAGGGAGATGAGAATTTGTGAGTCTGAGAACATATTCAGCTCACGTAAACCAGTAGCAAGAGCTTCTTCCATGGCTCTTTTCATTTTTGAGGGCTTCGGCAGCAAGAGCCGAGCCGACGTAGCTCAGCCCTGAAACAGAGTTATTTGATCTATATCAACGAAGTACCAGCCCATTCCGCACTCTCCGGTTACACTATTCCAAGCTGCGTCGACGTAACCCTTTGGAGCATCCAAGTGCATCATGTTGCTCTGTT